AGAACGTTTCCTTAGGGTGTAGAAATTAATTAAGTTTCTACTATTTAAATACGTTCGCCATACTTACCATTTTTACGTTAAAAATTGTAAAAAAAGCATTCGTCGGAAATTCTAATAAGAGTATAACGCGAAGTGATATTGAATACATAAAATATCACATTCCATTACGTAACACATGTCGTACATGTAAAAAGCATGTGTGATTTATGAAAATATTGTACTATACTATTTACCTGCAGAGCGTATTTGATATAATTATTTTAAAAATCTAACGTTAAAAAGAGAAAAAAAAACACTATCAACACGTCACAAATTAGAAAATTAAAATATACGAAATTTTTAAAAAATTTTGCGATGTAAATTACTCTTATTGTACTGCATACATGAAAGTAATCGCTTTGAAAGATTGTATAAAAAGCTTTGATACGTAGAATCGAACAATTCGATCGAACGAATACGGATAAAAAGCGAAAGCTTGTCTTTTCATTATGCTTTCCACTTTCTTCGTTTGTCTCAAGTAAGGAATTTCGTCGATTGAAAATGATTGTTATACAAATAAATGCAAATACAATGTATTGCAATTGAAATGCTCGTATTGTAACAAATACACCTGTGCTCGGTTAAATTGATGTGAAATTTGCTCGGTTAAATTGAAACGAACCATCCCCACTCTTCTCCTACCACTCATTGTCAGTTCCTCGAGCTTAGCGAACCTAAAACAGATCGACGAGGATAGTGAATAGATATAGCGAGAGTAAGTGAAGACACAGCACCTAAAATAGATACCTTGCTTGCGTTGCAATGAATCAGCCAATATCAAAATTTTCAATTTCTATAATTTTCGTCCTATCTTTATGAAAATAGCACCAATGAATTGACGAGGTTCTCCCAATGGAAATGAGTCGAAACACGATATAAATCGGACTAGTATTAACAGCAATCGTTTTAAAAATACCTGTAAAATCGGGAATATTTAAATTGATGTTTGGAAAAACTAGTCCGATTTATATCGTGTTGGTACTCATTTATATTGGAAAAAAACTCGTGCACTGACTGGTACTATTTTTATAAAGATAGGATGAAGATTGAGGAAATTGAAATTTTTGATATTGGATAATTCACTGCAACGCATTCATTCGTATTCCTATCAGGTGCTAAATTTCGACTGTTGCAGCATTGACGTACTACTTCTATCTCGCTTATATACTCTCGTTTTGTGTATTCTCTTTCCTTGTTGAGCTGTTCAAGAACCAATTGCTGGAACCAAAACACTACCCTGCTCGGAAGAATTGAAATGAGCGGACCTGATTTTATTCAATTTAACCGAGCATGGGTGTAATAGACATTTCTCTATTTGAAGAACAAAATATTTCCAAGTATAATACTTATATTCGAAAGAATTAAGAACATTTGCAGTTCTGTAGAAAGAATGTGGTAATGTTCAAGATTACTTATATTAAACACGTTATAAGTCAGAAATAGAAAAACGGAAAGATAGTTTTTTTATATAAAGTCAAGAATAAATTTGTCGAAGAATTATTCAAAGATAAAAAAAAAAACAACGATTTTACTTGCAAAACAAATATTACATTTTATCGCTTAAAGCGAAATGAGTTATAATTAATAAATATATTGTAGAAAATGTAAATTCTAAAATGCTTGGAACTAAAAATTCATATTTATTCATTTTTATTCATAATTTCGGTGTGATTCAAATGTATGCCAATATATTAATGATACGAATGGAGAAAGAAAAAAATGAATCTGATATGCCTATTTCAAATAAATTATATAGTATAGTATTGAAATATAAAAACTGTATAAGATGTCATAGATAACCGATTTATGTTAATGCGAATACCTATTTTTTAATGCAACTTACTATTAGTTTTAAACAAAAATTTTTGATAGAAAGAAGGAAACCAACTGTCAGGGAGGAAACGTTAGTTTCATAATAATCGTTGATCGTGCAAAGTCAGTGCGAACAATAGACATAACACTACCTTAAACAAATCTTTGGTAAGATAATAATCTAAACGCAATCATTTATAACGTCGATAAGTGATAAAATATAACTTATATATAAATAGAGCTTGCGCTATAGCTTAATCAGTCATGAAATATACTACAAGATATCGTGACTGTCTTTATCAATGTTTGTGAATGTATTATAAGTTAAAAATTAAGTGAGCTACTGAATGTGTACATGGTAATATTATACTAGTCCATATTAAGATAATAATAAAATGTAATTTTGAATTCAAATTCTAAATGCATCTAGACCTCTATTTCATATATCCATTTTTGTTTTAGTATAAAAGAATAATTGACACGTTAATTAAATTTTAATTAATTAAAAATTTAGTTTTACGTATACGCAAGCAATTTGTGGAAAAAAAAATTGATCATAAAAAACATAAAGTTTACGTAAATTTCTGTTATTAGGATTTTCTTTTGTAAATGGAAAGGTGAAAAAAATTTGTAAGTTAATTTCACTTCTTTAAACGAAACAACTATCATCTATAAATATTCTGCAAAAAAAAAAAAAAATATGTATTACGGTACATATACCGTAAAATTAATTCAAGTTGTAAAATAATATCAAAAGCATTTTTTATTCCTCCAATGATGGCCGTAACTAGTATAGCTTAATAGCTTAATAAATAGCTACATTGTTCCGTTATTGGTGGTACAACCGTGAAGAGAATGATTCTGCATAATACTCTACAAATATTAACACACGATAAACGAAAAATACAGAACAAATTTCTTTCATAAAGGGCTTAGTTTTCGAGAAAATTGAATTTAAAGATTCGTTACAAACTGTTGTTTCCGCTCGTACTTTTATGTTGATAAATAGCGGTAATGTCACATTTCGCAACAAAATAACCTACGCAGATGATATGGAGAGATATGGAAAAACTTTATTTACAAAAGTTGTATAGTACAGAGGGGGCCATAACATGCTAGTAATCATCATTTTGTAGGTAGCTTATGATTCATAAGCTATTCTCCATAGCAGGTAGGTGTACAGTCAGTCGTAAAAATCTACATACATTCTCTAAATTTGAAGAATTCCAATCTAAAATTCTACATTTGAAGAATCAATCTCTTGTATTAATTTTGGTCCACTTATTTTGAGATCATCTTGCATTTTTCTGAGTATGGCTCAAACATCTCACTTGTTTAATACTTTTGGATAACCAGATCTGAGCTTATTTAATGTCATTCCCCTCAAAATAAAGTTTTTTATTATTGTTTGCACCACTGCATGAGTTTTCCTAACAATTTTCGCAATTTCTCCATACAACTTCATCTCCTCTTGTAATTTTATCATCAGATTAGATTTTCCAAGAAATTTCTTTCCTTGACAACATGATTATAATATATGTATAAGTAAAACTCTTTTTATGTATACTTCCTGGAGTTGCTTCAAATTGAAACTGAAACTATGAAACTATAATCCCATATTTATAAGATAAAGAGTAACATTTATATAAAGTAACTCAATTGTATGCAGATTTTTATGAGCTAAATGGTTAGTTTTTTCAATTTCTTCTAAAAATACACTGATATTCTAAGCAAACTTAAGGTCATTATATGATAATATGTAAGCATAAATGATTCTGACATGCTTTTTTAGTTTGTTTTGATAAATTGAATGATCAAAATTCTATGGATGTATGTAGACTTTTGTGACTGATTACATGTCCATGTTATTTTTTTGAAAATAAACTAAAACATTCAAACTTATTGAAAGTAATAACCAAAATAATTATAGAAATGTAAATTTGATATACTGTAATCTTGCTAAAATCGCAGGTCAAGCCTGTTTCTTAAGTATTTAAGTGTGAGTAATACACGTGTAGTATCAAAGGACCTGTTTTAACTAATTGCTTAGCATAAATGGTTCTTGATAAAGTTACTTATATCCTGGAACTTTAATTTAATATTCAAATCTCACGTACCCGATTACGATTAACTTACGACACATCTTTTTTGTGCATCATTTACTTACAAAGGGATTTAGGAAAGGAAATCTTTCTTTACGAACGGCTGAAAGTTATACCGCCGATGTCTCAACTTTATTTTCTGCCAGTGTACATTTTTCGGTCCGGTTTACTATAATAGTATCTATTCCCACCGTCCCATTGGAACAAGCTTTTGCTTGACATAAAGTGAGGCACTTTGTAAAGAAAATTATAATTTTTGTATTTTTCATGATAATATCGTAGATAAATTATAGGATTCTGTACCTCGTTCATGATAATATTATCAATTACTAATAACAGTACTACCAATGCACAAATAAAATTTTTCCTATGATAATAAATCGAAACAAAAACTTATACAGGCTATTTTTCACTAAAAACATTACTGAAGACACTTCAATATTCGAAACAAAATTAGAAAGATTCAAAAGTTTTAATTTTCACCATAGAATAATTCATATTTCTCTATAGTCGATTATCAACCGTCAATCACAAGTAGATCTTGTTTTTTTATCTTGCTTTCCCTTATGCTGTCATTATCTCAACAGTATTATAAAATAATAAATTTTTATAGTGATAACATTTTCCCTTCCTCCGATTTAGTGTAACTTCACAGTCTTGAATACTATTATACAAACACGAGGTATATCGTAAGTATTTCATGTATAAAGTGCATTTAGTTCATATATATTGTTTTGCGACTATAATTTTTAACATTTTCATTTTATATTGTTAAAAACTTTACTATTAATTAAAAACGAAACCATTTGTACGTTAAATTTTTTCAAATGAACATTCACAAAATAAAACATTTTCCTTAACTATATACACTATACTATAAGCATTGAATAGTTCGCTGTAAGAAATGCAACCACATACCAGAAATAAAGTGACAGCGCCAGTCATGTTTGACTAGTACCTAGTATATATCACCAGTGTAATAACCTGGGATCATATTTTCTGGATAGTGAATAGTGCTTGTAAAATACAATATGTCTACCTCGCAGAAGAAGAGTCTGTTAATTAATAATTTTTTGGATTCCTTCTATAGAATTGTTAACTACATGAATGTTCCTTTTTAATTTAGTGGTTTGTGAATTATTTAATATGTAAAATGAGCTTTTCCGTGAAAAAAACAGGTGGTAGGATGTGGCATGAAGCGCGAAAACAAGAAAAGAAAATTCGTGGAATGCTAGTAGATTATCGTCGCCGAGCTGAACGTCGACGGGACTATTATGAAAAAATTGTAAGAAACCAAATTCAATAATGATTTATACATAAATTTAATTTAAATTGTAAAATTGAATGTTACATTCTATATAACGTCATATGAACTTTTATTTTCCTAAGAGGGTTTACTTTAAATTCGTTTCTAATATTATTTCAGTTCACATAAGTATTAGTTATTATTTAAAGACGTGAAAGAAGTAAATTGAACGACTATTCCTATGTTATTTTATCCTTGTCTTGTCATAGTTATATATTTAGTATATATTATATATGGGATAAATAAATACATAGAACATGCATAAATATATTTCTCAACTTGTTTATTCTGTAAATTTTTTTTAGAAATCGGATCCTACACAATTTCTACAACTTCATGGAAGACCTTGCAAAATACACTTAGATCCAGCAGTTGCTACGGCTGGTGACAGTCCTGCAAACATGTAAGTTAATTATAGTTTAATATTATTTGTAATATCCTGTCACTCAACTTATCTAGAAACTATATATTTCTCTGTAAATAAATGACAACCTACTTTGTTGAGAGAAGACTTAAATGTTAACATTAAAGGTTTAATTCAATTGTCGTATAAAAGTGCTAAAGTAATTGAATTAAAAGAGAATTCAATGTTGTTATAACATTCAACATTTTAAGGCGTTTTAAAAATTTTAAAA